GCGCAAGAACAGGTGCTAAGCACCAGATCCATAGAAGCAGGGGTCTACCACACTAGACAGGACCCAAGGTGCAGATTGTGCAGAGAGGCCTCAGAGACAGTCCAACTCATAGTGGGAGGGTATAAGATGCAGGCAGGAACAGCATACACTGAACAGCACAATCAAGTAGCTGGCATTGTGTTCAGAAACATTTACGCAGTGTATGGGCTAGACCCTCCCAAGTCCAGATGGGAGATTCCACAGAAGGTTGTGGAGAATAACAGGGCTAAGATCCTGTGGGACTTCAGGCAGGAACAGCATACACTGAACAGCACAATCAAGTAGCTGGCATTGTGTTCAGAAACATTTACGCAGTGTATGGGCTAGACCCTCCCAAGTCCAGATGGGAGATTCCACAGAAGGTTGTGGAGAATAACAGGGCTAAGATCCTGTGGGACTTCCAGATCCATTCAGACAGGCAGGGACTGGTCAATCAACCAGACATCATGGTAGTAGACAAGGACCAGAAGACAGTGGTAGTGATAGATGTAGCAGTGCCAAGTGACAGCAACATCAGGAAGGAGTATGAGAAGCTGGAGAAGTACCAGGGCCTGAAGGAGGAATTAGAGAGGTTGTGGAAAGTCAAGGCCAAAGTGGTCCCAGTGTGGTAGGAGCACTCAGGGCTGTGGCTCCAACAGATCCCAGGAACAACATCAGAGCTCTCTGTCCACAAGAGTGCAGTGCTGGGAACAGCTAAGATACTGCGCAGAACCTTCAGACTCCCAGGCCTCTGGTAGAAGACCCGAGATTGAGGAAGACACATACCACTCATAGTGGTGAGAGGGGACTTATTTTTTAACACACACACACACACATATACAAACACACATATACACACACCAGTTCTCAGCAGTTATAAATATATGACCCTATGCAAGCCCTCTTTTTAAATGACAAACCATGTTGAGGAAAAGCTTTTCCACAGCCACTGTTTTCTCCTTGTTCTGTTCTTACTTCAGAATTGGCAGTTGCTGAGTAGTTGGTTCATAATTCTAAATTGGCCATGAGGCTCTTAATTGCTTATCCATACAGTACTTATTTAGTAACATTGGAATACCTCAGTCAATGATTCTGGGGCTCACAGAGAGTCTATTTAGTTTTTTTAAAATATTATGTCTTTGATATTACAAATAATAATTTCTGTGTTTAAACTATCAGTTTTCTTGGGTTTTATTTTGCTATAGCACTCTTTTTTTTGTCGCTTAACGGAAGATAAGAAATCAGAAAAATTCTTCAAAGTTTTTTATGATCGTATGAAAGTTGCTCAGCAAGAAATCAAGGCCACAGTCACAGTTAACACCAGTGATTTGGGAAATAAAAAGAAAGATGATGACTCTGACAGAGAGGTTCCAGCAAGGAAAAGAGGTAAGTCTTTAGAGCTACAGTAGAGCATGGCCCTCTGAAAGTAAGTACTTCCTTGTGTGATTAAGTATTTTATTGATCCCATGATTCTGGTCCACAGCATGGAAAAGAGTGCTATCCTGCCATGACATCATCTTCCTTCCTCATCCTTATGGGATATGGCAATTACTGAAATGGTGACAGGTATTCTCAATGTTAGTATGCCAGTCAGCTTGAGTAGTTTGATGTGTTGCTTCATCTTTTCATTTAACATTCTTTGCTCTGCAGGCAGTAGGTCTAGAATTCTGTAACTAAAAGCAGACTTTCTCAATTCAGTCTAAAGATGAATTAAGGTGTACATTCAGAATTGAATCTTAAACTTTTCTACCACTTGGTGCTTTGTTCTGATGTGCAAGTATTTAATGGATCAGCACATATTGCCAGCAAGGATTAAATAAAAGAGGCTGTTCTTAATAATAGTATTAATTGTCAAGACTATGAACTGATGCACTAGGTGTTCATATACAATTTGTAAATACATATGGCAAGGACATATTTTTGGAGTGCGTAACACAGATATTTTTATGCTATATATTTTAAATAAAGATAAACATATGTACTAACTGTGGATCCAGTGGATAAAATAAGCACCATACTTATGAATCAGGAGTGGGGGTGAGATGGGAGGTCATCTTACATTTGCTGGCAAGCATAAATACCACTTGTGGAAACAAAGGAAAGACCAGGAGGTTCAGATCAGTGCAGATATCCCTGCTGAAAAGCCTGGATGCTTTTCAAGAGTGTGGTGAAGAATGCTGTTATATGCAGAGGAAGTCACTTAATTTTAAATGGGGTGCCTTATTTTAAAGGTGGTTGATTTTAATCAAACGTTCTACAGCCAATTAATATTATTTTCTTGGTCCAGGACCTGCCCTGTTTTGTAATGTGGCTTCTGGCAGATACAGACCTGGGAGGAGGGGGTACACACACAGACACACACACAGGTTCTCACCTCCACGTATTTATTGGGGAGCAGGAAATCTCCAGGAATGGTTCCAGATGGTTGATAAAGTGGGAAAGCCAGACATTTCACTCAATTTTTGTCAATATTTTTCTGCTATGCTGTTTTGGAGGATTTATCTTAAATTTGGGGTGGTTTTTCTTCCTAGTAAATAGTTAAGGCATCAGTGGGGAAGCAAGAAGGCATGGTAGTCTCTTCTTTTGACAACCTGAAGCCCTGTCCGAACAGAAGTTGGATTTTTATTAGTTAAGCAATAAAAATGACAGCATGACAATGAGCTGCATCCACAGTTGGTCTTATTTAGAATGGTGGTTGCTGTTTCTACCATTTATCCCACTTGGCTGCAGGGTCTGCTTTTTCTCCATTGCAGTCACTTCAGTTGGCACAGTAAAGGAATTTTAGTTTTAAGTTGGCTTTTTCAAAACCTGATGCTAATTAAGGCTGAGAGGAAGCAACTGACCTAACGTCATCTGGCTAGCTCCCATGTGTAAGGGAAGACTAGAACCTGGGTCTCCCTGGCCCTACTCTAGCACCTTAACCACTATGCTATGATGGCTGTTGCTTTGTCATATGTAAAGTATGCTCATTTAAATCAGTGTCTGTCTCAGCTTTCATTAATTCTGAGGAGTCTGCTCTAATCATGACTGAATCTGGATCCAGTCCAGTATGCTGAAGTCTAAAAAAAAGAAGGTGTTTCTGTTTATCCAAAGGAATTGTGCTTTACTTTCAATGAACAGAGAGAGAAAATTAGGACCAGATTAGTGTTTCATAAACTAGGTGTTTTTGTGGCAGTTTCTAGACCCCTGCCAGCAAGTGTCTTTTAAAATAACTAAACATGATCTACTAAAACTGTTAACTACTGTATTTATGTTTATTTAATCTACAAAAAAATATCTTTTTGAGGCTATTTCTGTGTCTTGCTAAGAAGTGAGATGAGTAAGGCTGGCTTGTTAAACTTATTATACTAATCTAGATTCTTTTACTACAAAAAGGCAAAATACTCAATGGCCAATGTGTAAAGCTTTCTGGAAATGGTGAAGAGATCGGCTTGGGGACTGCGTTATTATTTGCTAATGAGATTTTCCATTGTGCATTATAGCATTAAGGGAACCCCTGACCCAAATAACAGAGGAAGTGAGAGATCAGTTGGTTGAGGCCTCTGCTGCTACAAGGAAAGCATTTAACACCTACAGAAGAGAAGCTGATCCTGATGATCATTATTCAGCTGGAGAAGGAACACAGTCTGTGGCAGATAAAAACAAAGATGAGCTGGAGATGAGTCCTGTTATCACAATAATGCAGCCCATTTTACGTTTCTTGCAGTTGCTGTGTGAAAACCACAATCGGGATTTACAGGTACATTAGCTCTCTTGTCACCTGTGTAACACTCATGGGCCCCAGTGTGCCTGGCAACACCTTCCCTGGCCTGATCTGAGTTTTAAAAGATTTTAATCAATTAATTAGATGAGAAGCCAGCAAGTTGCCAAACCTAGCACCAGCCTCAAACATCGTTATTGGGGTGGGTAGATGGATGGATGGATGGATGGATGGATGGATGGATGGATGGATGGATGGATAGATAGATAGATAGATAGATAGATAGATAGATAGATAGATAGATAGATAGATAGATAGATAGATAGATTGACTGAAATAGTCAAGAACATTTGTGGGGGGTGGAGGTGG